CTCCTCTTGGCTGCTGTCCTGGAGGGGTTGGGGATTTGGAGGATAATTGGAGGAGGGGGTTTCTCCAGCAAGCACTTACTAATCTAGGAAATGGAGGCACTTTGCTTTACTTGACTTGTTCTTGCTAGTGCGTGTGCGTGTGTGTGTGTCAAATTATTCCTGGCTGTTCCAGTAAGCGGTGTGACATCACCGGTGCACGTCTGGTAAATGATATCCTGGATGTTCATCCCTACATGTGTGTTTAAAGCAGTGGCCTTATTGTCAGTGGTGAAAAGCAACTGAGTACATTTACTCAAGTATTGTACTTAAGTACTGTAGTATGATGCTACATTCTACTTCTACTCCACTACATTCAGTGGGAAATACTGGACTTTTTACTCCACTACTTTCAGTCGACAACCATAGTTATCAGCTACGTTTCAGATTAAGATTGTGTAAAATAAAAAACATATGGAAAACGTATAAAATACAATACATTGGTAAAGGTAAAGTCAGTGGTTCCTGAGCTTTTTGTGTTGTGACCCCTATAGGCTATCAAAGCATGGTCCAACAATTTTTAAGATGAGATCTAATAACAAGCGATGACGAGTGAAAACAATGCTTCTTCAATGTTGTTTGTGGAAAGAAACGCATTTCATTTGCATAAATATGTTTCAGTATCTAAATAATTCATTTTGCGACCTGCAATCTGTTTTTTTATAAATAGAACCAGCTTTGACTTCCAAATGAAGTGTTCTTCATGTGTTGTATAAACTAGAAGATAACTTGTTTGTAACATTTTAGTGTTTTCACACTTTTCAGCAACTCTTCTTGCCTTTCAGAAGGCCAACTTGGTGAAATAGTGATTGTTGAAGCAGCTCATGGTTGATGCTGCAAACCTCCAGGATGTCTTGATTTTGAAGATAAGATTTCTAAGAGGTGGGAGCTACCGGTATATGAGGGGCTACTCTTAGTATGTGATCATGCATGAACATCTAGAGAACTGGGCCCGCTATAATTTACAATCTTTCTCAGAGGTGAAACTCTACTTAAGCAAACAAGCCGTGCACTGTGTATCATGAGTGACTCATGTTATTACACCCATTGGCTGATCCCATCCATATCAAATTAGACCAAATATCATTTTGCCTCTGTATGACTGAATGCTGAATTTTTCGGGACTCTTATAGTTGGGTAAAGTTAATTACAAATGTTGTTACCCGGTTGGCCTTTTCCTCCATATCACCAATGATTTTTACTTAGAAAAATGTTGTACTTGCATATAATCATAGTCACATTATTTAGATAGTGTGTCAAAGATTTTGTCAATATTGCTTAGGTCCAACTTGTCACGTTTTCTTTTTCTCAGGCTCCCTCAGATACAGTGATATTTCCCTGTCAGAGCAGCTCAGAGGACTATGGCAGTAATTCAGGGGACGGGACGGTCCACTCCTCAACTTGCAGGGGGAATAACTCACGTTGGTCCACTCTGTCCTGGGACGCCCCGTCTGACCTGCTTTCGCCCCCAACACCAGACGCTGGCGGTACGGTCCATCTGGACAGCGACTCCAGACCTAGTTCAGGTAAATGGATAGACTTGTTTTCAGTGGTTCAATGTTTGGTCCACAGCTCTGACTAGTGTGCAACACAGTCAATTTCTGCTCACCTTGTGTAAGCGAAGTCCCATTAAACATTAACCAGGCTCTTTTTTACGTGTGTTTACTTGCAGTCAGGGACTTGGCACCGACTCATTTGTTTCTCTCTCACAGTCAGCTTTTCATGCCAAACTCTAATCCACTCTCATTGTAACTGTGGTCTCTGTGTCTCTACACCCAACTCAGACAGTCCTCTCCCTGCTATGCACTCATGCACACCTTCTTTTATACGATTCTTTACTCTCTTGCAAAGGGTGACTTGAAACCTGCAAGGCATTATTTCAGAATTTTAGTTTTGAAGTTAGTTTCATAGCTTAACCTTTTCATTCTTCCAAATATTAAATACAAATGAAGGTTTTTGTGATATTTTTCGAGCTAATGCAAGTCTTCACAGCACTTGTGTTTTTGCACTGCAGTACCTTCATGTTACTTGTTAGTCAACCAGAGGATCCAGTATGGTGACGCCTTTCTACTGGAATTTAGGTGACCGCAGTTTGAGTTTCTATCGGCGATGTCTTTGTTTAGCTGGTTTTCATTGACCTTCCTACCTACCTATTTCTCTTTACAGTATGTACAACCAAACTACACTTACAGAAAACATAATTTCCCTTCTCAAGAAAGACTTAATAGACAAAGAGTATATGGAACAGCAAACAACTTGCTGTATGAAACTGTTGGATGTTTTTTTAGTCACCATTTTTTATTTATATTTAACATGAAGAGCAGTGAAATAATAAATAAAAAGAAAACCAACAAGTCAGTAACAGTACAAAATACAATCTCGAATTCAGAGAAATAACGAGCAGTATATTACATCATTATATCTAATCAATTGTTATCTATTGTCACTTAGATATCAACATAAGATACATACATACTAAACTTTTCCTCACTCTTTTTAAGGTTTCTATTCAGTGAGCGGGAGCTCTCTCTCGGACTCTTGCTACTCTGTGTCCAGTGACGCTGCTCAGGGAGGATCGGTGCCACCAGCCAGACCCCTGAAGCTGTGGGAGCAGGTTCCTCTGTCCGCTGACAACACTGACATCCTGTGGTCAGAAAGTACGGTGCCTCAACAGCAGCCTGCATTGCAGAGCAGCCTGGAAGACGCTGAACCCACAGAAGGGACACCAGCTTCAGGTGAGCTGGTGCACCGAATAGATCCATGTCATGTACATCCGTTCATTTAATATAGCAGGTTTAAAAACGTCAACTGAAGGCGGTTCAAGGTAGTGCTCTGGCTATAAACATCAGTAGAGCTCTTAAGCCTGGAAATAGATAAATATATATACAATTAGTGAATGATGATCTATAATAATAGATAAATGTTTTGTTTGAAATTCTCCTCTTCTTGTCTCTTACAGTCCAAAGTGACATTGAAGCGACTGGTCTGAGCTTTCTGTCTGATCTCTGCTCAGGACTCGGTGACTCCCTGATGTCTTCCCTCCTCCCCCTTCTTGACTCCACCTCCTCTTCCTCCTCCTCCTCTTCCCTCCATCCAAACCCCCAAATGGACCCTCGCTACTGCATAGACCTGGTGTCCCGTCGGACCAAAGAAGTGTACCCCTACCCCAGCCCGCTGCATGCCGTCGCCCTCCAGAGTCCCCTCTTCACCTCCCAGAGCCGGGAGCAATCAGCCTCTCCAAGCCCTGAAGGAGCCCAAATAGATGAATCACAAGAGTCCAATGCTGATCCAACTCTGCTTCTCCAGCCCCCTGCCCTGGCTTCTTTCACCCAGCTGGAGCAGTACATCTCTCGACTGGCTCGCCAGTACCAAAGTCGAGTAACTTCCTCCACCTCCAATCTCACTTCAGCTGCCACCCCAGGTCAAGTCAGGCACAGAGGCCTTTGTACCCCTGGCAAAAGTCACGGTTCTACGCAGTCCCTTTCTGCCTTTGAGAGCCGCAGTACACCCTCCACCCTGCTAGGGGGCAGCATCACTCCCTGTAAGTCACTGCTGGGTAACTCCGCCAGAATTAGCCTGAGCACCACGGGGAAAAAAGCCACTAGGAATTCTATCAACCTGGGTAACCTTCCTTCAGCAACCGGAGAGGACGTGAACATAAATCTGCACCTGAACTTTAACTTGAACCTGACTCCTGGTTTAAATTCTAGCCGGGGACTGGTGGACAATCCCAAAAATGGCAGCTGTGGAGCTTTGAAGAGCAACTTTGCTTCAGCTTCCACGGCCTCTGCTACATCACTCTCCTCCGCTACACCCGCCCCGGCACTTAGGGCTCGCCCTCGCATTTCAACATGTCCAAGCAGCCTGAGCCACCGCAGTTCCCTGGAGGTCACTTCAGGGTCTGGACCCAATTCTGGATTTGGATCATCTACCTTCTGTCGCTCATTAGACTGGAGCAGCGGTGCTCCACCTGACACTGGACCATCAGTGTTTGGTACAAATTCTGGATCAGCTCCTAGGTCTCAGCGCAGTAGCTTCATCCAAGAGTCCAGCTCCAGTCCCAAGATAAGCGAAGACTCCCCCATGGTGGAGGAGATCTCCCGCCTCTCAGGCCTCTCCAGGTCTGTCGTGGTCGGACTGATGGAACAAGGTGTGGAGCTGGATATTGACTGCTTCCAAACAGATACTGCAGGCGAGGTGAGGGGTCACAGTAAAAATCACTTGACAGCCCAGTCAGATCAGTCACATGACTACACTAGACTGACCGACCTGAATCCCCAGAGACCAATACAGCTGTCTCTCAGTGTCACCCATTCTCCACAGTCTCAGTCCAGCATCACCCCTCCTCTTTCACACTCTAGCAGCCCCATACACCCTTATCAGTCCATCCATATTCCCTCACCCCACTACTCCTCACACTGCCACTACCAGCAGATCCCTTCCCCATCCGATCTTCCCTCCTCCACAGCCTCCTCCCCTGCCTCCCGCCCCACCACCAGGGGCCGATCACCTCCCCGGCCTCTCCAGCCATCCCCTCTGGGTGCCACCCCGCTCTCGGTTTTCCGTCGGGATGCGCCCTTCCAGTGCTCCCTACCTCGCACCAATACGAGGAGCTCTCCTTTGGAGCATAGCGGTATCCAACCAAGGGGTGGATCACTTCGGCAGGGTGGGGGAGGAAGTGGGGGGAGTGGCGGGTGGAAGAGGGTGGAAGGGGAGGGGCTTTATAGAGGAAAGCATGCCTCCCACAAGTTGATCCGGGCATCCACGGTAAGCAGCTACGCCAAGAGAGAGGACTATAGCTACGATTGGGCTGAGGAGCAGGAGAGGGAGCGATCAGCAGCCCAGACACCCAGGAAGACCTCCAACAAACTCTGGAGGGGCTTTGAGGGACGCATCTGGGGCAAAGAGTCCGAAAGCGAAAGAGAGGAGATGGACAGAGCTGAGTATGGCTACAGGTGGAGGAGGAACAGCGTTGAAAGCTGGGGGAGGGAGCATCGAAGGGGGAAGGCCTCATCTAGCAGCAATGACAAGAGGCCAAAAGTTGAGAACTCCCCCATCTTCTCAAAGAAGAGGGCGAAGGAAGATGGGGAGAGATGTAGCACCAGCCTCAGGCTTTCCAGGAGGGCGTTGTTCAGGAGTGAGTCCCAAGGCTTGCTGGTGTCACGTAACCACGCCGAGGAGCCCCCAAAGCGGGCACACTGGGTCTCCTCATTAGATGTGGGGCAAGGAGGCATGGGCCTCAGCAAACACGAAGGCGTCAGACGGCTGAGAGCAGAGCAAGACAAACGTCTGTCCTCCACAGCAAGCCTCTTTAACCTCTCTCGCTCTCAGAGCCTGGAAGGCAGCTGCCATTCCCTCTCCCCGCTCTCCTCCCCTTCCTTCTCTCCATCCCCTCCTCCACTGATGCCCCTGCAGCGCTCTCGGTCACTGAGGGACTTGGGGAGGAGAGTGTTTGGCTCCATGAGGTCCCTGAGTCTCAAACGGAAGCCATCCAAGAAATGACACTTGTACAATAACATAACCATCACAGTAAATGCATCTTCTACGTGTTACGTTCAAAACACCAGTGATGGTTGGTATTATATTTCGTGTAAAAGGAAGTGCCATCACTTATGATTGATTAGACAGATGCACTGGTTTTATGATACTGGCTATAAGATATCTTCTAGTCTAGACCTTCTAGTATGATGGAAGTTCCTCTCAGGCACATAAAGTCTGTAAAACCTGCTATTAATTTTGCTCTTGGCTCACGTCATTCATCTCAGTAATGTTTTCGTATATTTTTACAGACACTTTATAGCCTCCCAAAAAACGACAAAATGTCAGCATAATCACAGTGCTTTGCAGCCAATTGATTTCATTGTTGCCTAAAGTCTTTTCTCACTGACAATGTATTATTGTAGATTGTGCACCCTACAGTAGCAAAAGTGAGCACCGTAGGGTGCAGCAAGGCCCACATCGAAATGTCAGTGAAGAAAACATAGGCTACAACTGTTGGGGTGAACAATTCCTTTTAGGAGCTGCAAAGAACTACAAATCTTCTTTACTACTGTGGGTTTCAGTGGAGTTTTTCAAAGTGTGAATGTTGTTTCAAAGGATTTAACGTCTAAAGCCCAATTTAAAGATATTAAATATGAACTCATATTAGTTATAAGCAGAACCCTCCTGTAACCATGAGTATGAATGTGTATCTGTATACTTCTGCATGCTGCTCTGTGACTAGTTCAGTGATTATAGCTATTGTGAGAGTGTGATATTCCTCCGTTTTTAAGGGTAGCAGTGCCTCTGAAGTACAATCATATTGGCCAGATAATGACCAAAACCAAGCAAATACTCTTTAACTTGATATTGTGCTCAGGATTTTCAAATAAATATGGAATGATTAAAGATATTGATGCGTTATTTGAGACAAGATGTGGCTTCTCATGGCTTACAAATAATAAAAGAACCAATAACTAAACTTGTACTGTGCCTGAACTACCTTATTGCATTATATAATCAAATGAGTTTGTTAAAGAGACAGAGACTGGAGGTTATTTATTTAAAAAAAATATTTTACTTGAAAACTCACAAAATCGCATTCACAGTACTGACCAAACAGCTGCAATGATGTAGGCGAAATCAGAACTTTTAGTGCATTGTCACTTTAGCTTTCAAAAGCATTTTTGTGAAATATCCAAACTAAATACAGCTTTGCATCCGTGTTGCTAGGAAACTAAACTTCCCCCATCCTCTCCTTTCTATTTTCAGCAGCGACATCTTTCGTTTCATTACGACTGCCTCCCAGTCCTCTGTGTAATTTTCAATTCTTACTTTCCTATGCTCACCTGATGCACACCTAAAAGGTCACACGAGTCAATATGTGTGAACATTCTTCAGTTGGTTTGTAATCAGTTGAACAGAGTCTCTCTCAGTTTGAGGCTTCATTTGGTGGGCTGAGCTGGCTGGCTAAAACTCCTTCACTGGCTCTGTGGGTTTGGTAAATGCCTTCTTCGGAGTTGCTCTTCGGGCTGGGGGAAAACATGCCTCGGTACATGGCCCTCTCTTTTTGTAAATCATGACTCAGTTTCTCCTCGGCCCTCTGCAGCTGTTTCCTCACATTGGCATCTGAGACAGAAAAAGGAAGATGTTTTATTTTGGAAAGACATACTTTCCTTTATCCAAGAGCTGAGGACTAGTAAAGAATCTGCAGGATTATGCATTTAATGTATAGATATGATTCACCCAGCAATTCTGTGACAGAACCTACTGTCCTTTGAAGGAAAATCAGCATGGTGCAAAAATCTAATATTATATTTGAAAAACCTTTATTACAGGACGCTTTAAACGTATCTTGCTTGTTCAATCAGTGACAAGATATAACATGCTTTAGAGCTGCTGGTGGGTGGATTTTTTTAGTACCATGAGACACAGTAATGCTAGCTGTTTCCCCAGTCTTTATGCTAAGTTAAGCTAACTGGCTCTAGCTTCATATTTAACGACATGTGTGGTATCGAGCTTCTCAGCTAACTCTTGGCAAAAAGGTGAATAAGCATATTTAAACATAATAAATACATAATGACAGTATGTATACACTGTACTAAGAAAAGGAAGTCTCAAAAATAAGAATAAGGACTAATTAAACATTTGAGATAAATATCCATCTTAAGTGATTTGTGAAAACATACACTGATGGCCTAAGTGGGCTGTGGATGACCCTGACGTGCTGGCACTTTTTCTTACCATTAGGCTGCTCTCTGCAGGCCTGGGTGAGGTACTGTTTGGCAGTCTGTGCATCTCCCATCTCCAGAGTGGCTACTCCTGCCCTGTACAGTGCCTTGACATCACCCGGCCGCCACTGCAGCACCCGCAGGCTGTAGTCCCGCACACGAGAATAGTCAACACTCTGTCTCTGCAACAAACAGGCTGAAAGAGATATATTTATACATATATAAATATAATACTACATATACGGTACCCGGCTGGCAATTTCCCTCATAAAGCAATCAATGAAAAAGCTTATAAAGGAAGTCACTGAATTGCAGAGGGATTTGTTGGTCGGGCATTTTCACATTGAAATGATTATCAGGACTCCATATAAAACTAGCAACTACATGAAACTACTTAGCCGATATTCATATGCATAGTTGTGATGATATCTACCAGCTAAGTTGTTGTAGCAGTCCACTTGTGTGTTTCTCAGTAAAGCCTCCTGTTCAGGTGTGAGAGCAGGTATCTCAGGCGCAAACCCTTTCACTGACGCCATCACATCAGAATCGAGGCCTCTGAGAACCAGCAGAGCTCGGTGATAACGCCCAATGGCCGAGCGAATGTTCTTCTCCTTGTAGAAAACATTCCCTTCCGTCTTCATTTGGGCTGCTTCCTCTAGCGAAGTCCAAACAGGCTTTACAGAAGTCTGTCGGTGTCCAGAAAAGCTCGGTTCCACCGCTTCCCCTTGCACATCCATACTCTCATCTCCTCCTGCAGCCTCCATTTCTGCGGTGGAGATAGTTAGCTGTTGAGATTAATTAATAAGTACGTATTAATACTAGTTTTATGGGACCTTGTTAAATAGGCACTCAACTGGTTTTACAGTTTGTTTTTTCCCCCCTTTTTGGCTGGTAATTAACTGTACTGCTGGAGTAGAAAGAGAGGAAACTCACAAAATGATAGATGCAGTGGGAGTTTCTACAGCAGCAGTTGAGAGCCTCTCTCAAACAGCTGGGAAATATAGAGTTTATAGAAGAGTGAGGAGGAGTCGGAATGAGCTATTATTATATTTAGTAAGTGGAGATGTTGGTTTGAATCCAGTAGTTGGCGGTAATGCAACACTTTGGATGTCAACCGCTATTAAAAGCCAAAGAAGAAGAACGTCTCTAATAGCTACAGCCTCCTCGAACCAGTCCTGCAGGTGCAGTGTTTAAATGGTTAAAGGCATTAAGTTCGCTGGTTTACCCTGAAGAGAAGTGGGATCGTTGCATCCCACTGACCCAACGTATGACTATTCCCATGTTGCAAAGTAACGTTAGCTGGATAACTGCTCCCTGCGTGGACCTGGCTCTCTGGTAACGTTACAGCTAAACGAGCTAGCAAAGTTACCAACGCCACCGACCTACACACTAGCTATTCACGCTCATTCTGTTCAATTACAGGATGCCTACTCATTGTAACGGTTTGGTATCTTAATGTGTGGTCGATAAATTGCTCACCTTATTTAGCAACCGAAAGGAGAATCAACGGACAACTACGTCATGCAGTTGACAGTCATTCTGCTGTCGTAGTGGCGCTTCCTTGTTCTCTTGAGAAGAGATCAAAACTTCTACTTCTTGCAGCGTTACCGCCACAACAAGGCCAAATCAGGAACTACAGTACATGAATATAAGAATGTCTATCGCTACATTTAATAAATACGTGATGCTCTTTCTTTTCCTTGGGTCCAACTTGAACTTTCATTTAATTTTGTGTGTTGAACACACCTTATTTGAAAACCCTATTACATTAGGTTAACTGTGAACTACATTCCCATATAAGATACACCACAAAATCAGTTATTTTAGTTAGTTTATTTTACGATATAAAACTGGACTCATCCCTGGTTTTTCTTAGAAAGTGCAAAATTACTGTGCTCTCATTCAGATAATCAATCAATTAAAGAATCAATTGGAGCCATCTTGTCCACTACTTTAAAAAAAACAAACATAAAAGCCATAATGACTTAAATATATTTTATTGAATTAGAAAATCGCATGAACATTTTGGAACTGTTGGAATTTATAATATAACCATGTTTAATCATTGCAAACATTAAACGCTGTCCTCACTTCACTGCTGTATCATAAGAAATCGTAATTATCAATATTAATTCAACATTTACCACTTAGAACACAAAACATTACATAATAAAATGCTTATTATAAACTAGTCAATAATCAGTCAGCAATCAGAGTTTTCTTCCACATTGTCTTCCTGCTCTGACACATCCTCCAAATCACTATCAACCTCCTCATCTTGGAAGAACAGATCAAGGGCCTGTTGCACACTAAATCTTGCTGCCATGATGTCCGTCACTGAAATGGCAGCTCAGGTACCTTTATAATGTTATGACCCCCCCCACACACATTGCTTGCAGGTGCAGATCTTGTGTCTGTGACAAGGCACCCTTTGACCTCTGGATGACTCCCTTTGTACACCATATATGATCACTCCTGTGCTGTTTTACTATTTCACTGTTTCGTGGCTCCCCCATGCCCCTTCAAAGACCAGCAGGTGTCTGTCTCTGCGGGAACCTGGAAAAATGTTGTTGGAACACAGACAGTTCTCGTGCCAGTGTCGAGGTCCCCCTTGAACTCTGTCACCACTGTCCCATAAAAAATACACACAGACATGGCCTGTACAGTTTCACAGTTTCAAGATTCTCTAAAACCACCATTTCCCTTGATTTGACCCACACTGGTAGATCTAAAATCCATCTCAATAGATACGGGTCAAAATACACAAACATTTTAATATTTTTGTGTATTTTGGGGCACTTTAGGAAAAAGTCATCAAATTTCAGGCTAAAAGAATGACGTTTAGGGTATTTTTACTGCTGTCAAATGTCAAAAAGGGTCAAATTTGACCCTAACAGTATGTAAGGGTTAAAACATTTTTTTATTTCTAGTGGGATACAGAAAATGTTTTTTTAAGGCCATAATACCAAGAAATTGTTGCAAGAGATGAATTCTTACACCATATGTGGCCAAGAGTATTTTGTTTGTGTAAAAACACATTTGTGCTATCACAAAACCTGTTTGCATCCCATTAAATCATTTCTCTTTCAATCCTGCTGATTTGTGGTCAACATTAATTCAATCTCATTATGAAATTCAGGTTCCTCCTTGTCTGTTTTGGTGGTGCCATTGCTCACTAACGCTATTTTCTTTGGCGGTTCGTGGGTTTTCACTTTATATACATCCCACCTCTCAGGAATCAGTCCTCTATTGAAGAGCAGTGAAGCTAGGTAGGAGAACGACAAAGTAGCAAACATGTTGGACAACATGCAGATAGTCTGAACAGGAGAGTGCTGGACATATACACCATTCTCAAGTGTGCAACCTGGGAAGTGAAGAACAACAGGCAACCCTATTGTTGGCTCGCCACTCAGCACTCTCAGCAACACTCCAACAAACAAGCCTATGATGGAGCCGTAGCCATTGGAGATGTGAAAGAAGAGGACACAGACTAGTTGGGGGAACATGATGGTGTAGGTTATGCCTGAGCCCAGGATCCAGAAAAACATAATGCTGTTGTGTACGAAGGTGAGCATGGTGCCAGCTAAGCCCACCAACACCACGGATCACCCACTGGAGCTCCCTATCTGATGCCTGCAGGGGGGGGGGGAAGCCCATAAACTGAAATAGAAAAAGGAATAACCACAAGCATAATCTTCCCCTCAGGTCTCCTCTTACCATGGTCCTCAGCATGTTCCTATAGATACTGGATGTGAAGATGGAGGCAGCGGACAATAAAGCCGAGTCTGTCGATGACATCACTGCAGCAGCTATAGCTCCGACACCGATGATGGAGATGTAGTGTGGGGTGAGGTGCTGCAAGACAATGGGCAGAACCCGACTGGCCTCGCCACGCTCGTATGGGGTCGGGGAGCCGTACCCGGTTGTGTTCCAATCTGACACCAAAAATGTGACATAAATTAACATAGTCTCTCTGCACATCTGCTATTTAATTCTATTGCTGTACCTGTTGATGCTGCCACCGCTCCAATCAACACGGATGGGATCCCGAGTATGAAGACGAGGAGAGCTGCAATAAAACAGGTGATCCTGGCTATAGCTGATGAGGCAGCTGACAGCGTCCTCTGGTGGAAGTCCTGATATCCGAGGTTACCTAATGACTTTTAGAAACACTCTTACACTCTGTACATCAAGGACCACAGTGGAAATAATACTTATGTGTGTCATCCTGAATGACCCTAAGAATGGCTCTGTTCTATTCAATTCCTAGTAAGCCATGATAGGGAGCCAGCATGCACAGTACGACCCTGAAACCGCAGCAGCTAAATGGAATTCAGCTGCTGTAAATACTTCATTTGAGTATTTACACTTATTCTTTTACTGCTGTGTCAAAATGTAACCCTTACCAATATTAAGAAATTATCAATCCACCTCCACGCTCTTTCTTTATCCACTGAACCAATCCAGGGGGCCTGGTAGGTGAAGTTGAAAGCAGTCTTGGTGATGTCAGTTGAATGGGGGTTCATGAAGAGGAAGGGGACACATAACCACTGCAGAGAAGAAAAAGAACCACTGATTTTAAAACATGCATATTTACTTGATAAAGTGATATGACAGTTGTATGTGTGACGAGCAGCTGCTTATAGACTTGGCAGGATACCTTGGCAAAGCGCCACAAGCTTTTCTGTTGTGTAAGAACAAAGGAGATGTTGTGCCACGAGGGCGCACTTTCTCCAGGAAGTTTCAATTGAATTGTCTCATGAAAGGCTTTCGAAGAAAGCGAGGAACTCACCAAACTGATGAATATGAGGGTTAACTGTATGATGTCTGTGTAGGCGACAGAGTAGAGGCCTCCCAACAGTGTGTAGATGATCACTACTGAGGCAGAGATCCAAATGCAAACGGTATAGGGCAAATCCAGGATCACACTCATTGTTGCACCTAAAAAAGTAACACAATCATGCAGACTCGTAAACAAAATGTATACATTTAAAAATAATTGCTCTTTCTGTTGAGTATGATATAAACTGTGCACAATAGTATGATTAAATGAAGTTTTGATAGATGGTTTTAACTTAATTCAATAATTATTGTTAACTTAACTTCCCTCAGCTGTGTTTCAGTGTGTAACTGACACGTACAATACTTTAAACACAGACTGTGCTTCAAATCTAGTTGCATATCAACTAGATTTGAATCAAGTTGCTAAATCAAACAGATTTGACAACTGTCAAATCTTTTCAGGTTGGCAGGTGAAAGGTTCAAATCACAACACTTGTTTTAATCCTTTCATCAGCTATCGAAACATGTTTCAGCAACTTCCCTGATGACATTCTTGGACTTGTTCTATACTCACCCAAACACAAGATGCTTGTGGTTGGGGCATAAAACCAGGTTTGTTAGCTTATTGTTTGCAAGTTAAAGGCAGTTTCTAACCAAAAGTACGTTCCACATGGTGCAAAAAGTAAACAATGGTTTGAAGTATAAATTATATTATTGCAAAATGTGACTTTTAGAGAAAAGTGTCGGTGTGATTTACCTAAACCAATTAGAGATCCTGTAACCCAGATTATATCGGATATCAGCAGTGCCAGGGACAGAATTGCACTTCCCATTTCCATACTTGATCTGGAAGGGGTCCATCATTGTCACATATCTTTTGTCTCTCATCGTCTTAGCGAAGAAAAGTCCACCTTAAGAATTGACAAAGGGTGAGGGATTTGTTTCACAGTGCCAAACTGATTTAGAATTGCACCCCTGTATTATTGTCAGACTCCCAATGGACAGTTTAGTTTTTTTATTCCACACATTATTCTTTCCTGTCATTATTATTTCCTTCAGGATAAACACAAAATGTTGACATCATTTTAACGTCACTTCACTATCACGTATGTAACTTACAAGCCAGATCTGCCCAACCTGAATATACCACACATACTGTATACTGTATCTAGTAGTACAAACCCTGACAGAAATGTTCGCTATTTCAGATGTTTAGATATTCTTTCCAGCTGTGAGGGACAGTGTGATGTCACAAATGCCCCCTAATATGTCACTACTGGTGGGGGGGGGGACAATGTTTAATTTATATTTTAACATATAAGCGTGATGCCATTATTAAGATGCCTGAAAAACTGTCTTACCAATAATGAAAGCCAGAGATGATGCTGCCGGCATGACAGCCCACGCCAGTCCCATAGTTGGAGTGTACACTATCTCTGTCAGACCAATAATGAAGCCCCCTCCAACAAATGTAGCTTTAGGAAAAATACACACACACACACACACACACACACACACACACACACACACACACTCACACACACACTATTGTATACATAAATATTCCCTATATTTGTGAGACAGATTTACAACAGTATAGAAACCCTCACTGATCACATTGTTATCCTCTGTTTAGGATAAACTGACCTGTGAGAAATACAAATTGTCCAAAAAATAAGTTGTAGCATACAGAATACTGTGCCATTTAACAACTTAATGTTGTTTTATAAGTAGTATAAAGAAAAGTAAAACATTTAAAAAACATCACATTAAACTATTAAAGAATATGTACCATGAAATCAAAAAGTAAGTCTAATGAGATTACTGTTAATATTTTATTTCAGGCCTTCTTAGCAAACATGTCCACCTATAACATCGTGATAGATCAAAGAAAGTGCAGATATGTGCTGATTATGATAGAAACAGATTATATATTTAAGTTATAACCCCCCC